TGAGGTCTCACCAAGTTGCCCAGGTGGGTCTCGAACTCGCGGGCTCAGGCAATCCACTCATCTCAGTCTCCCAAAGGCGTGGGATTACAGGCTGAGCCACCGAGCCTGGCTAGAACCCTTTCTTTCAGTGAAATAGAGGTACCTAATATATAGCCCAATAGATGGGTACCTCTGAGCCCTGCCACTCCTGCTCTCTGCCACGGTCCCAAGGATGACTTGCTGAGGAGCACAGTAGCAAAGTGTCTAGACTCGAAGATCTAGACAGTACTTTTCCATTCTAGTACTTTGGGATGGTTTAGTTTAGGTTTGCATTTTCATACTATGGCTGCTACAAGTAGCTTTTAACTCTTGTTTTAAAGATGTTTTCTAGGGGTTTTTTTGTGTGTATTTTGGTTTGATATCATAAACTTCTCTTTCTCCAGATTTATACTGGCTGTTATGATGGCAGTATTCAGGCTGTGAGGCTAAATCTGATGCAGAATTACCGCTGTTGGGTAAGAGTGAAACTGTTCTTGTCACTGGACTTAGGAATTACTTAACCCTAGGCTAATTTTCAGATCTTCATTATCATCAGTTTAGCACTTATGCCTTACATTCTAGGACAAGGAAGCTTAGTTTTTAAAACAATACATAAAATACTTTTTATACTTAGTTATTGGAAAGTCTTTTAAGATTAGATATAAGGTATATTTAAATATTGTCTACTCAGGTTGTCTCCTAGGTGGATTTTTGTTTTGATTTGTTTTATTGTAAAATCAGTACATGTTTACAAAAGTGTCATCAATACAGAAGTATATGAAATAATAAGCTGAAATGACCTGCCCCTTCAACTACTCCCACTCCCCAGGGATTACAAATATTAATGGTTTGGTTTGTGTCCTCATTGGTTTTGAGGAGTAAATAAATAAAAAGTTTTATTCTTGAAGTTGTAGACCTCGGTTCCCCAGGCTGAATTGTATGATTTTTATTTTGGAGTAGGGGTTCATGGTTAACCCTTAAAACTTTCACAGTATTCCTTATAAGACTTAAGGTTTTTTTCATCAGTTCTAATATTGGTAGTGAACAAAGAAAAGTTTATGTCACTGAATTTCTTTCCCTCAAAACCCTAATATCATTTTCAAAATTGATGGCATGGATTTGACACTCTCCATTTTAAAATTTGATTTTAGGATTGTCTACAGCCTAATTACTTCTCAGCTTTTTACACATTATTATCTTTACTTTTTAGACCTCTCAGTGTAGGCAAGAAAAAACTAGAACAGTAGTCCCCTCCTTATCCAAAGGGCATATGTTCCAAGATCCCCAGTGGATATATGAAACTGTAAAAAATATCAAACCCTTTATAGACTATGTTTTTTTGATCATTGAGATGCATACTAAGTGACTAACAGGGGAGTGTATAAACATGGATATACTGAACAAAGGAATGATTCATCTCCAGGTGGGACAGAGTGAGATGTTTTGGGATTGTATGAATTCAGAATAGTATGCAATTTAAAACTTAGGAATTGTTTATTTCTGGAATTTCCAGTTAATATTTTTGAGTTGTGGTTGACCATGGGTAACTGAAACTTCTGAAAGCAAAACCAGTGATAAGGGAGGAGCTACTTTCCAACAGAATCCAGAACATATGAATAGAGAGTTAATGTACTTAGAAAAATGGGAAAATATATTTTTTGTAGGTAGAGGGATGTGGTAGTACTAACGGAGGAAAACTCAAATTTGTGTTACTTTGAGAAATGAACATGTTAGAATTAGAATCACAAGGTTTATTACAAACAAGTCTGCAGAGAAAAACCAAAACAGAGCGTCTGTATGCTTTCTAATATGTGAAATTGAGCCACATTAGTAAGTAAAATAACAGTGAAGGAATAAGTAATTATAAGAATGTGATTCTTTGCTTTTGCTTCCACAGGACTTATGGAACACACGTGATCGATGTTCTGATTGCATGCTCACTTCACCCTTTTTAACCGAGTCCCTTCATTCTCTTTCTTTCCAGTGGCATGGTTGCTCTCTGATATTTGGTGTCGTAGATCATTTAAAACAACATTTGCTGACTGACCACACTAATCCAAACTTTCAAACTCTGAAATGTCGCTGGAAGAACTGTGATGCTTTTTTCACTGCTAGGAAAGGATCCAAGCAGGTACATTGGTGGGACTTGAGGGTCACTGGGATTCAGTTAAAGTGTTCAGAATTGCAATAAATAGGGAGGGCCTGGGGGTCTTTCTTTTGATTATTCAGAGATTTTAGGGATAACTTAATGAAGTTTCAAGTGAAGAATTAGGTATTTTTTGAGAAAGAGCCTGAAGAGAATGTTTTCAGATGTTTCAAATCTAGTAACTGAACCTAAGTAGTCTATTACAATACTCTTGTGCTAAGACAGCAACTCATCTTTAAGTGCATAGTTTCATGTAAATTATCAAAATGCTAAGTTCTAACTGCCTTTCATGTATGGATCCTACACAGAATGCCCCTATATGACTTGCCTTTGCTTTGACTATCTCCCGTCCTACTACCAACTTTTCTCCTCATGGGCCCTTTTCCCTTTATTCTTAGGATGCTGCAGGACACATTGAACGACATGCTGAAGATGACAGCAAAATTGATTCATGAAGTTTTTTGCCTCCCATGTTGGGAAGTCATTAGTTAAACTATTTTCACATTGGCCCCTCATACAGGCCACTCTCCTCCCTTCCCCAGTGAAGCAGGGAAGGAGAAAGTGTGACTAGCCAGGCTTACCACTAGCATAAGCCCAGGCAGCTCTATGGGATGATAGGTTACACTTTAAGTTCTTGCTGGAGGTTTTAAAGTCAGATCTAAACAGATTTTAAGGAACCATACTCCTCTGGGACAGCATGGCATACAGTTGTTTATGCTCTTGCGTTCCCCAGATGTTTATTAAAGATACAGATTTTAACTGGTTATCCAATTTGACCTTTATCATATGTATATTTTATTGATTTCAGCTTGTGATTTTTAGTTTATGTTCTTACGATGGTTTAAATCTGTAGTCAGGCTTTTAAGTGTGAGTTTGTTCAAATGCTAGATTTTCAGAATCAGTTTTAATTTCCCCAGTTGTAATTACTGGGTATTTAAATTGGAAGCAAATACTTTTCTTTCTTTCTTTTTTTTTTTTTTGAGTTGGAGTCTCACTCTGTTGCCCAGGCTGGAGTGCAGTGACACGCTCACAGCCACTGTAGCTTCAACCTGCTGGGCTTAGGTGATTCTTCCTCCTTAGCCTTTCAAGTAGCTGTAACTACAGATGCACGCCACTATGCCTGGCTAATTTTTTGTGATTTATTGTAGAGACGAGGTATTACCAAGTTGCCCAGACTGGTATTGAACCCCCCAGGCTCAGGCAATCCTCTCACCTCGGCCTCCAATTATGTGCAGTATGTCTCTGCTGACTATATTTTAGAAATCTAGAAAGCAAATCACATCACAAGTCCTTACAGATACCACTTCCTAGTGAACTTCTTTGCAAGTTTTGCTAGAGTGCTCAGTGTGAGGCAGTGCATAGACCTAATGTCTGGCTTTAAATTTTGCTGTCAGACCTGGGTGCTCATTGCCACAGATACTATCAGGCTATTTGAACTGGAGGTGTGTCTTTTATCTTCCTTTTCAGTTTCTGACTCTGCAAGCCTGATGTGGGTTTTAAACACTCTGATTTGCTCCATTGCCAACCTCTATCTCTTCCACTGTGTTGCTGTGCCTGATGCCAGCCACCAGGTATTCCTCTGGGCTCATAGGGTGCTTTCTACCCACCTGCAGCACCCAAGATAGTGGAGTTAGGATAAAGCATCTGAAGACAGTTTTTAGGACCTCACGAAGGTTTCCTAGAGACATTCTTGAAACCAGTATCTTTGCCTCACTTCCCTACTAGCTGGGAAAGAAGAGTGGAGTATGATACAGGGAAAGACTGCCTGTCCATTGAGAACAGCCAAATCAACAGAGCCTTCATGAGGCTGCTTCGTTTTTGGATTTTCTCTGGACTCATCAATAAAGCTGTACAAGTATTGCTTTTTAGTCTTTTGTTTCTAGATCCTCAAAAAGATCTTTCAGAGATAGAAGGGTGAGGAGCCCAGTGTCACAAAACAAGCCTCAGGATGTGGCACTTACTGTTTTCTAGGATTGCAGAGCATGCAGGTTTATCTTCACCCCTGTTAGTGTGCATACATCTACTCACATCTTCCCTCTGGCTCTAGAGCAAGTGGACTCCACTGGGGGTTCATGAATCGGCTTCAGGAGGGTCTGCAAACCCCCTGAAATTGTATACACAATTCCATGAAAGGTTCTTTTTTCCCATGAAAGGTTCCAATGGTTTTTACTTGTCTAAAAAATGTTAAGAGCTTATCTAGGAGCTACTGCTAGATAATGAATGACCCTACAGCTATTTACTTATGTCCTTTGAGCAGGAAAACTTTTGTTAACCACATTGTTGAGATTTGCATGGTGCTTAAGTGAGAACAGACACCATCTTGTTGCATAAAGTGGATTTGTGCTGTTTTTATATAAGATTAATAAGCTTTCCCACCTCTCACCCCTGTTCCCTGTAAGAGTGACCAGAGAAGCCACACTGGTTCTCTGGGTCTGGGAATGGTAATTTCCTGAGAAAACACATTTGGATTTATTGCAAAATCTCATATTTTTCTCTGGGCTGTCGTGAAGCCACATTTCTACTTTGGCTGGCAGTGTGCTAAGAAAACCTTTTGAATGCTCTGTTGCATAGGTGCCCTCCTGCCTGAGGATGTGTCTGAAAAGTTGAGAGTGATGGGGCCTTTGTACAGCAGGAAAAGGGATGTGAGATGTTGGGCAGTCGCAGGGAACTCTTGAGAGTATTACAGACTGATAGAATCAGTGAGAACTAAGATTTGGGTTTAGCTTTGGTAGAATTGTGTGCCTATATCTGCTTCTGTGTACATGTGTGAAAGTTCTTTTATATGTATGTATACGTTGATATTGTAATATTTTTCTTGATTTCACCAACCTCCCTTTTTTTTTTGAAGCAGAGACAATCATGTCTTTGTTTCAAGAATGTGAAATTCCTTTAATATCTGGTGAGTGTGTTATCCAGAATGAACCATTTTAGCTCTCGGTTAAGAAATAAAGGGACCATAAGCATCTTGGCTGCTTATGGTTGTGTGTTACTACTATCAGTTGTCTTGAAAGTCATGCAGAACTTTGACTCTTTTTGAAGAGTCATTGTAGCCCTTTGTTTCCCCTCATAGAAGAGCTCTGGCTCAGGGACAGTGTTGACTTTGGTATTTAGTAGCTTACTGAAGGAAGGAAACTGCTAAAAGACCTGGCAAAAACTGACTCATTTCCTATAAGAAGTTGGAGACCATTTTTAGAATGTTTGTGACTATTTTAATGGCTTAAAACCAAGAAAACTGTAGTATAAATCCTTGCGTGTGCATATGCTAGTGTTTTGATGGCAGTTTGTTTTGATAAAATATCAATCACTTCAAGTTTTGTGGGAAAGTTTTTAATTAGGTTCATAATATATTTGGGCATATTCTGCTACTCAGTTTTTTTTTTTTTTTTTGAGTTGGAGTCTCACTCTGTCACCCAGACTGGAGTGCAGTGGCCGCTCCCAGCCACCACAGCCTCGACCTGCTGGGCTCCGGCGATCCTTCCGCCTCAGCCTTCCGAGTAGCCGGAGTTACAGGCATGCACTACTACGCCCGGCTGATTTTTTGATTTATTGTAGAGATGAGGTCTCATTGCCCAGGCGGGTCTCGAACCCACGGGCTCAGACAATCCACTCACCTCAGCCTCCCAAAGGCGCAGGATTACAGGCTGAGCCACTGAGCCCGGCTGCTACTCAGTTATAAAGGAATTAAACACAATGCAAACAAAACTCTAAGAACAATGAATTATCTTGACCTGATATTACTTGAATATGAGACAAAGTTAGTACTACACTCCTGCTTTTGTGGGAAAATTTTTTATTCCCCTCAGAAGAGTTAGCAGTTGAGTGTTTAGCCTCTGGCCTACTTATAATTTATAGGCAAAATTATTACTGTTTAAGTGATTATTTGCTGAAAAAAGGTTTTGTTTTGTCTTTTTTCTGGTAGATGATACAATGGACAACTTCAGTGATTAGGCATGTGGATGATTTGGTGGGAGTAGGTGTACACTTAGAGGAATGGTATGGTATATTTTATAGAAAAGAATTCACTGAAGGAGAGATCTAAGTAGATTGTGAAGTGGGATTTGAACAGCACATACCCTCTGGTTTTCTCAAATAACTGCAATTTATATATGCTTACTTATAAATTTTGCTCCTGTTATGTAAAGGAGAACTCCTAGAATTATTATGAAGCCCATGCCTGCCACATTTATAAAATGGTGGTTTTATTCTTGCCCCAAATCATCAGGATCCTCAGGGTTTAAGAGAATTGGCCTAATGGACAGGGAATAGAAGCTGTAATGGAGGTGATTTGGGATATTCTGAGTTACATATGCAAGTGGATGTGAAATCCTCATGTAAACCAAACCTACTGCTTATCAGACGGTAATCTCTAACCTTACCTCCAACCCCAAGTATGGCCCTACTGGCTCACATGGTAACTGAAGTTTCCCAGATTTGTTCTAAATTCAAGATAGCAATCCAAATGAATTGGGGGAGGAGGGGAGTCAGGGGGAAAGACTGTCAAAGACCTTTCTTCTGTTTAAGGGAAATGTATGCCCTAGAGTTGCTCTAACACCCTTCCTTGGTTTCTGATTTTTAAAAAATATTGAATATGGATTAGAATAGTGAAATCAGATGACACTTGACTGCAAAAATGTTTATAAGCAAATAGCCTTCTTACATTTTGGTATAAAGCTGTGAACTTCATAACTTTGTAAAGCAAGATATAAAGCAAATGCAAGAGGAAAATAAAGTAATTTTAATAATTGACTGTTTACTTTTGTTACCTTGAATGAATATACCCTTTCCTTTCCATATTGGCACAGAGACCAGGAAGGAAATTGGTTGGAAAACACAAGATGCTTATAGATATGCCACAGACCATGTTCTAGATAAATTTGGTAAACAGCTACTTGGAAGGTTTTGTTCAGGGCCATATGGTAGGTCAATTAGCAAAGGAGCTAGGATTAAAAAATATCTCTGCTCCATTACATTGAGGAAACTGGCCCCTCCAGTTACAGGTGACCCATGTGTTCTTGATGTTTTATACGGCAACAGCTATTCCCCTTTGTTTCTTTTATTTCTTGGAAAGTATCTAAGCAATTCCTATGCTCAAGACATAGCAATAGGTATGATTGAAGAGGAGTTCAGGGTTTGTTTTTTGTGTGTTCTTCATTGTTCTATTTTTTTTTTTTTTTTTTTGGTTTTTTGGGGGTTTTTGAGTTAGAGTCTCACTCTGTCACCCAGGCTGGAGAGCCAGTGGCACACTCATGGCCACCTCAGCATCAACATGCTAGGCTCCTGTGATCCTTCCGCCTCAGCTTTCCAAGTAGCCAAAACTATAGGCGCGCACTACCACACCCAGCTAATTTTTGATTTATTGTAGAGATGAGGTCTTGCCAAGTTGCCCGTGCTGGTCTCAAACCCATGGGCTCAAGCATTCCACTTGTCTTGGCCTCCCAAAGTGCTAGAATTACAGACTGAGCCACAGGCCTGGCCTATTGTTCTATTTTGAAACTAGGGCTTTCCGTAGATGATAGGTCGAAGCCCTGCTGTGACTGATATCTAAATGTGAGGAAAAAAACAAGGAAACTGGGCATACACATGCCTTTATTTAGATTGTTTTGTTTCAGAATGCAGCCAACTTATAAGTCAGACAACCCAAAGTATCCAGCACCGTTCTGCTGAGTTAGTTTAGCCCAGAGCAGGCAGGCAGAACCGAATGCTAGTTTGGTTACTGTCCCATAGGTGGGAAAGCATAAAGGTGGTCGAGGGTACCAGCACAAGGAAGTGCTATAGCAAACAGCCTAGAGCAGGGTAAGGAGAAACGTTTGCTTAAGAGCTGAGGCGGCTTGGACTTTTGGCAGACACTTTACTGCATGTGGCAAAGGGACAAAGTTGTTTTTTCTACCTCACTGCTTTACTAAAGAGTTAAGATGGGCATGACTGATCAAGGACGAGCAGGGAGTAAAATGGAGGAGGAATGACACCAACAGATGCCTGGAGGCCTGCTGGAGTGCAGCTA